CAGCAAGAGCCATGGTTCTCTGTTGTGTCTCCGTCTGGGCATCTTTTGAAGTGATCATTGGTACCTTTAGAACTATATTTGCCTTCTCTGGCTTGCTTGTCCATGGTTCTGGCCTAAGTTTTTCGCACAGAGCTACAACTCTTTCAAGCAGATCTTGGTGCTGTCTGTACAGTTCTCTAGCAATGTGGTTGGTGCTCTGACGCTTGTCTGTTTTTTGTTCTCTCTTAAAATTTAAAATGCAGTGGGTGACTTTGAAGTCTTTTTAATTTCTCATACTGTAAAAGAGTTTTGTATTGTCTTCTAAGTTCGAGTGGTTCAGTATCTGCTATCCTCTCTATCTCTCTGATGGGATTGGATTTCATGGCTCCGAGAACAATCCTTAATCCCATATTCTGAACCATGTCCAGTGTTCCCACTGTTGTCTTGGCTGCTGCAGCCCATGCAGTGGAGGCATATTCCGTGACTGGCCTAACTGCTCCAGTATATACTTGTTTTAGGACTCTGGAGTTAGCTCCCCATGTGGTACCCACTAATTTTTTCATCACTGCAAGCTTCTTGAATGCTTTCCCCTGTACTGCTTCTACGTGTGACTTCCAAGTTAGTCGCAAATCAAGTGTAACGCCAAGAAAGGTAGGAGTGTCAGTCTGTGGAATGAGCTGGTTTTTTAAATCCGAATTTCGATTTTTTTTTCTATTTTGGGGGAGAGAGAGAAAAGTGATGCTGTGCTTTTTGAATTATTTAGCTTTAGACCCCACTTTTCTGTCCAGGCTTCTACATTTTCCACAGTTTTCTGTAACAGATATGAGGCTGTGGTAGTGTATTCGGAGGCTGTCAAAACTGCAAAGTCATCAGCATGTAGGGTATTATAAACGTGCTGGTGGCAGGTTGCTGTGATATAATTTATGTAAACCAGGAACAGAGTTGGTGCTATCGCACTGCCATGGGAAATTCCTTCTCTTAGTTTTGCCAGTTTGCCGACGTGTCCATCAATTCTTAATCTGGCTCTGCGTTGGAAAAGAAAGTCTTTGATCCACTTGTACATGTTATGCACAACTCCAGCCTGTAGCAGTTTTAGTTGTAGGCCCTCTTTCCAAACTGTATCGAAAGCACGAGAGAGGTCAAAGAAGACAGCAAGAACTTTCTTTTTTTCCTGGAAGGCATTGTCTATTTCCTGTGCCAGATATGTCAACTGGTCCTCTGTGTTTCTGTGCTGTCTGTATCCTGTCTTGGGCGGGGGGGGGGGGGGGGGGGTAGTATTATAATAGTTAGGAACCGCTGCTTTTTTTTTTTATAACATTGCTCCTTGTGTTTCCGGTGCGCTGTCTGTTTCCAGTCTTGTTAGATGGCCGAACTATTTGATTAGTTGTCTGCCGATAAAGTTAAGTACTAATTCTGTGCCGACTCTCCTTCTGATACCATCGTTCATAAGTAGATCTGCTCTTGTTCACCTAGTATTGTAAGCATAGATTTCATTTCTGACTTTTTTATTTTTTATTTTGTATTCTTTCTTCTGTCGTTTGCCAGTGTTAACATAGCGTTTGTAAGAATATTGTGTTAAACAGTGTTGTTTTAGTGTTTTTATTTCCATGCTTATATTACAATGATGATGATTGGCACCTTTCCGTCTTTCCAGACGATAATGTTGTATTGCATTATGAGGAGGCATGAGACTCACAGCCCATGGCGATGGCAAGTGTGACTAGCAAGACCCGCAGGTGTCAAGAAAAGTCTTCCACAATGATAGCATGGGATTTCAGGACCATTTTTGCCAACATTTGTGTTTAATCCGTTTCTTTTCGGACGCTCAGCTCTCATCTTTTCTGCAATCATTACTTCCTTCACTCTCATTCCCTTCCCAAAATGCCCTGTCTACACAACACGGCCCAAGGCACTTTGTTCCAATGAGTCCATCTAAATACCTTTATCATTCATGTCCCGCGTACACATATCTTTATATCGTAGTAGAAGTCGGCCTTGACATCTTCTCCCTGTAATTCACTACAAAGGATGCCCTTAGGGACTCTGCCATCCTACATTCTCCTGGTGTGACCCAGCCACCTGAGCCTTCGTAGACTGAGCATGGAAAAGACTATATACATATTACAATATTGGTGCCAATTGTCCTATAACTTGATCGGCTTTTTTCATCTTTGTTGTCTTCCTTTATTCATTCTTCTGTTTTCCGAATAAATTATCCCTCGATGTGTTAACCCCCCTCGCCAGCGTTAACTGCTGTTTTTCAATTCTGATGTCGTGATACCTTTCTCCAATAAATTTCGGCATCCCTTGGCTTGTCAATAAACAGTGACCCGGAAGTCGATTTGATTACAGCTCATGATGAGGGCGGGTAGTTTGATATTCTCTATTTGCCCGAGCCAGTGTCAATCAGCAGCAGCTGCGCGAAATGTATTCCACACTTTCTAACGTTACATTAACGCTTAAAGTGTACGCTTCAAGTAAGTTACGTCGTTGTGTCAATGATATCATTTATTATCAAGGCTGCTCTTATAGCTCTGATACATTTTCGTTTATTCTTTGTCTATCAATAACCTATATTAATAAAAATGTTAATATTCCGATGTTGTAACCTAAAAACTCGGAAACTGCTGAACCGATTGCTTGCAAATTTTCACACAACGTTGCCTTTGACTCAAAGCGTGTTTTTTTGGGACACGAAATCGCACAAACTACGACCGACGTTGCTCCAGCAACGGTCAAATCATTATTTGTTTAGTTGCCGGCCCGGATTTGTTTTTAGTCAGTCGGCCACCTTTGACTGTGTAACACCGATTTTCACATTCTTATTATATACTTTCATATCTACTAAATGCTAGAGTATTTAGTAGCGTAAAAAGTTGTAAGCATTTCGCTTTTTACTCGGGTGATAGGGGTTCGATTCCCCTTTGGGTGATATAATTTTTTTGGGGCCCCTAACTGGGTGAGTGCCACGTCTACCAGGCAATTAAATGACTCGTTGCTTCGCACATAAAACTGCTTTCTGAACTCATGCTCTACCAGGCAATTCGATGACTCGTTGCTTCGCACATAAAACTGCTTTCTGAACTCATGCTCTACCAGGCAATTCAATGACTCGTTGCTTCGCACATAAAACTGCTTTCTAAACTCATGCGCTACCAGGCCATTCATTGACTCCTTGCTTTGCACGTAAAACTGCTTTCTGAACGCATGCGCTACCAGGCAATTCAATGACTTGTTATTTCGCACATAAAACTGCTTTCTGAACTCATGCTCTACCAGGCTATTCATTGACTTGTTGCTTCGCACATAAAACTGCTTTCTGAACTCATGCGCTACAAGGCAATTGAATGACATTGCTTCGCTCATGAAAATGCTTTCTGAACTCATGCGATACCAGACAATTCATTGACTTGTTGCTCTGGTGAGGACGGAAATTACTCTGATACACAACTGGTGAAGACAGAGATAACTATGATCCAAAACTGGTGAAGATAGAGATAACTATGATCCACAACTGGGGAAGATAGAGATAACTATGAAACACAACTGGTAAAGAGGGAGATAACTATGATACCTAACTGGTGAAGATAGAGATAACTACGATACACAACTGGTGAAGATGGAGATAACTATAATACACAACTGGTGAAGATGGAGATAACTATAATACACAACTGGTGAAGATGGATATAACTATGATACACAACTGGTGAAGATGGGGATAACTATGATACACAACTGGTGAAGATAGAGATAACTATGATACACAACTGGTGAAGATAGAGATAACTATGATGTACAACTGGTGAAGATGGAGATAACTATGATACACAACTGGTGAAGATGGAGATAACTATGATACACAAATGGTGAAGATTTAGATAACTACGATACACAACTGGTAAAGATGGAGATAACTATGATACACAACTGGTGAAGACAGATATAACTATAATACACAACTGGTGAAGATAGAGATAGCTATAATACACAACTGGTGAATATGGAGATAACTATGACACACAACTGATAAAGATGGATATAACTATGATACATAACTGGTGAAGACAGCGATAACTATAATACACAACTGGTGAAGATATATATAGCTATGATACACACCTGGTGAAGATATATATAGCTATGATACACACCTGGTGAAGATAGAGATAACTATGATACACAGCTGGTGAAGATGGAGATAACTATAATACACAACTGGTGAAGATGGAGATAACTATGATACACAACTGGTGAAGATGGGGATAACTATGATACACAACTGGTGAAGATAGAGATAACTATGATACACAACTGGTGAAGATGGGGATAACTATGATACACAACTGGTGAAGATGGATATAACTATGATACACAAATGGTGAAGATAGGGATAACTATGATACACAACTGGTGAAGATGGGGATAACTATGATACACAACTGGTGAAGATGGAGATAACTATGATACACAACTGGTGAAGATAGAGATAACATACACAAGTCTGTTCATTGCTTCTCAGACTTCAAGTACGACATGAATTTACTTCATTTGTTAGCGTTGACGGCCAATAAGTAGGGCCGACCGCAAAATGTTCTGAAAGCACGGGACGTAGGTTTCTGTCTCTTGTGGGACGTAGACTGAGGCTGTAGGGTGAGGGAGGGGGTTGGGAGTTAGGAACAGTTCTAGATTTTCTGGGGTCGTTAAAAGTAGTCACATCGTGTAATATAGACCTGACACCCCTCTAACAGAGAACTATGTTACTTGATTAACAGAAAGTCGCGCGGAATCGTTAGTTTTGCACTATACTTGACATAAAGAACAGACGGTCGTTTCCTAATTTCTGTTTAAAAGAGATCTCTTCTCGAAGGGGAGATCACTAGAATTCCACATACAGTATTGACATTAGACATGCTCACATCTTTTGCGGATATTAATGTTTATATTATTTATTCAGTTTCACACATTGTGTTATAGGATTGCATCTTTTGGGTAATAGACTACACATTTCTCTATACAGTATGTCTGTAACACCGACCTGCTATAATATATGGTAAGTTTTGCGGTGTTGGTTCACATTTGTTTATCGTCTGCTGTTTTGCTAAACTGAAGTGCCCTTTTTTTTTTTTTTTTTACAGAGATTGGGGAGAGAGCTGCATGCGATACCGAAGGATAGAACGAGATAGCGTGAGCTGATGGTTAGAAAGGCAGAAGAATAGAGACAGTCATCACTTCTGAAAATGCCCTATCCAGAGTTAAAGAAGAACTTTGGGCGCTTCTTTGAATCGTTCCCCAAAATGGCGGCTTTAATATGATGGCGTTCAAAAAGGAGCTAAATTGGCCAATTTCTGGCCATAAAATATCCAGAAATATCCGAATGCGGGGTCAGTTCTATTAATAATATATGTGCCAGCTCTGAATAACAAAACAAATGCTCTGACAGGGTCTGGGCGATATGTTGCTTGCCGACCTTCTTCTGCGAGTGTGCCTCACCGCCCAGTGTATCCCCCGCGCCGCTATGCGCGGCGCGGATCGGGGATAAACTAGATGGCTGGGACTCACGAGTGGCAGCTACCGCAACTCCTGCAACTTCCTCCAATTACTGTACTCCTGAGTCCCAGGCACCTAGATACGCTCGGCGATGAGTTTAATCACGTTTGGCGCATGCCGACAAGTCTGACATCTACCGCTGCTAAATCCTCCAGTCGGAAGAACACAGTATTGCTAATCGTTTTCATCGTCTGTAATGTCTCGAAATTGGTCAACGGTCACTAATATCGTCTGCTAGTATCGTCGTCGCAGAAACGCTCGAAATTGTTGTCAACGGTCGGTATTTATCGTCTGCTACTAGTACCGTGTGCAATGTTGATAGTGATTGTCAAGTAATCCTAGTTTTGCCGCGATTATTTGTCCCTTGGCAGGCAGTCCGTATTTTAGATATACGGGAACACCGTCGTTTGGATATTTTTGGATATTTTATGGCCAGAATGTGGCATGCCGCCATTTTGGGAAATGGATCAAAGAAGCGCCGAAATTTGAATTGTGCGACTTCCATTATCATGGACTTTGAAATAAACATCTTCTGATGTGGGTTCTGGGGCAATATAGACCTACTACCCCAGGGAGTCGCCGCCGTGGAGCGGCTAGATGCCCACCACGGATCAGAAGGTTGTGGGTTCGCTTCCAGACACAAAGAAGAACTTTGAATTGTGCGACTTCTGTTATGGACTTTGAAATAAACATCTTCTGATGTGGGTTCTGGGGCAATATAGACCTACTACCCCAGGGAGTCGCCGCCGTGGAGCAGCTAGATGCCAACCGCGGATCAGAAGGTTGTGGGTTTGCTTCCAGACACAAAGAAGAACTTTGAATTGTGAGACTTCCGTTATGGACTTTGAAATAAACATCTTCTGATGTTGTTCTGGGGCAAAATAGACCTACTACCCCAGGGAGTCGCCGCCGTGGAGCAGCTAGATGCCCACCGCGGATCAGAAGGTTGTGGGTTCGCTTCCAGGTGAAGCCGGACTTTAAAAGAAAATGAGTATGGCTCTCAGGTCGACCCAGTCTGAAGTGGGTACCGGGTGCAGATAAAGAATAGGAAGAAATAGAAGAAACAGAAATGTTGAGAAGAAGGGGAAAAAAAAGAATACAAGCAGTAGAAGGAGATGGAAAAAGAAAGGAGACAGGAAATGAAATTGAAGAAGTGTAAGAGAAGAGGAAGAAGAAGAGAAGTACAAGAATAAGTGTAAGAAGAAGAAGAATTACCAAAATCTTAAAACAAAATGTCAGCACAACATATCTGGTACTGCTCTTCACTGTCTATACAGTTTTATGAATGTGTTTTGCAAAGTGGTCTCGAGGTATGGTGTCTGCCTCGAGTGCTGGAGGTCCTGGGTTCAGGCCCCGGTGAAGGCTGGGATTTTTTCTGGCTAGTGAGATTGGACGCCTGGGTGTGCTGTTGCACAGGTAAAAAATACCTTGGCAGTTAGAAATTAAAAAGAGTAGTCTTACGGTGCTGCCCAGGCAAAATTTGAGTTAAAAATCTATACCCAAAGTATTTTAGGATCCTCACCGGTGCAATGGAGGTCATGCACTGCGCTGAGATTCTTCAGAATAAACATAAACATAACGTAATAAACATGTAAACATGTGTGGTACTTGTATTTTGCAGCATGGTCTCAGACTTTTTCTACCCAAATATGGGAGGAGTGGAAAGCCATATTTATCAGCTGTCATCTTGTCTGGTGGAAAGAGGACATAAAGTGGTTATAGTCACACACTGTTATGGAGATCGGAGTGGGGTTCGCTATCTGGCAAATGGAATAAAGGTAATCTTTGTTTTTAGTTTATTGAAAGGATATGAAACAAAATTAGCCAACAGCTAGAGCGTACTACATGAGAACGACAAGTTACTGGAAAAAAGGCCGACCAAGAGAAAGATGTGTGGAGGGAGTAAAGGAGACACTATAGAAACACCACAGTACACAACATCAACACAAGTTACGCAACTGGCAAAAGACCAGAAACTACATGTAACTTCTTCCTGTGACTTTTCACAGCATAAGCTGTAAAACTAGAAAGAAGAATAAGGATATGGAAACAAAATTAGCAGGTATTCACACACACACACACACACACATATTCACTGGGAAGGTCATGGGTAGTGAGCATGCTTTGGATCTTTTCTCCAGGCCATGCTGGTGTGCTTGGAAATGAACAGTCAGACAGATTGGTTGGATCTGCACCACTGGGTGGTGAATTGGTGAGTTAAGAATTATCACAGCACTCAGAGCATGCCCTTATGCGCTCCGTCCCCATCCTCAGCAACCAGCGAAGAGTTCCAATGCTAATGGTGCCAGTCGTAGTCTGGTTGAATGTCTGTCTTGCCTTTCCTCTGCCGGCCGAACCCTCTGGTCACACCCAGGTGCATCATTATAGAACTAATTGATATTTAAAGCAACATTTTAAAACTAATTATTATTTAAGTAACAAATTGATAGTGAGACCACATTTTAAAACCAATTGATATTTTAGACATTTTAAAACCAATGGATATTTTAGACATTTTAAAACAAATTGATATTTTAGACATTTTAAAAGAAATTGATATTTTAGACATTTTAAAACCAATTGATATTTTAGACATTTTAAAAGAAATTGATATTTTAGACATTTTAAAACCGATTGATATTTTAGACATTTTAAAACAAATTGTTATTTTAGACATTTTAAAACAAATTGATATTTTAGACATTTTATAACAAATTGATATTTTAGACATTTTAAAACCGATTGATATTTTAGACATTTTAAAACAAATTGATATTTTAGATATTTTAAAACAAATAGATATTTTAGACATTTTAAAACCAATTGATATTTTAGACATTTTATAACAAATTGATATTTTAAGAAACTTTATAAAGTGAACTGATATTTGAGCATCATTTAAATATAAATTGATATTTGAGACAACATTATAAAACAAACTGATGTTTTGAACATTTTAAAATAAACTGACAACATTATAAAACAAGTTGATATCTGAGGCAACATTATAAAACAAACTGATGTTTCAGACAACATTTTAAAACAAGTTGATATTTGAGGCAACATTATGAAACAAACTGATATTTCAGACATTTTAAAACAAGCTGATGTTTCAGACAACATTTTAAAACAAGTTGATGTTTGAGGCAACATTATAAAACAAACTGATGTTTCAGACAACATTTTAAAACAAGTTGATATTTGAGGCAACATTATAAAACACTTATGTTTCAGACACCATTTTAAAACAAACTGATGTTTCAGACAACATTTTAAAACAAGTTGATGTTTGAGGCAACATTATAAAGCAAACCGATGTTTCAGACAACATTTAAAAATAAATTGATATTTGAGGCAAAATTATAAAACTGTTTATTTCTTGCAGGTGTACTATTTACCGTTCCCTCCTTTCTACAACCAGTGTGTGCTGCCGACGTTGTTTCTGACTCTGCCATTATTGAGAAACATTTTTGTGCGTGAGAACATCCAGATTGTGCATGGACATTCTGTAAGTCATGGTGATTTTAACATTCTAAACATCACTTTATACATATAAATACAGTGATTTGTGTGTGTGCTAAATATTGCTTTATACACACACACACACACATATATATATATACACGGTGATTTGTGTGTGTGCTAAATATCGATTTATACACATATATATATACACAGTGATTTGTGTGTGTGCTAAATATCGCTATATATATATATATATATATATATATATATATATATATATATATATATATATATATATATATATATATATATATATATATATATATATATATATATATACACACACACACGGTGATTTGTGTGTGTGCTAAATGTCACTTTACTTTTATACATACAGTGATTTTTGTGTGTGTGACCTCAGTTAGTACAAAATGTTTTTGAACACGGACTCGATTTTCAGTCCCTTGAAATTCATGTTAACAAGGTTTTACTGTACACATACACAATGATTAATGAGCTAAAATAACTTCATATAGATATCTCCCTGTGGGTTCCGGTACCCTAGTGACAGATGGTGAGGGGGGGGGGGGTGGAGAATAGTCTGACTTCCGCTTCAGAAACATGTTATAAATGGCGACTGACTAGGGGTTTGCTGAAATAGGATGTTTTAGGCTGAAAAGTGCAGATAACTCAGCCTAGCTTAAACTACAACACGTGTCAGCTGCCCCTATAAGGGTGATTCCAGAAAAAGACGAATGCACACACATACACTCAATGCTAAACCTCACTTTGTGTGTGTGTGTGTTTTTATGTGTGTGTTTATATACACGTACACAGGCAGGGAGACATGGTGTAGTGATTTTAATTACCAAAATCACACCTTATATACCTGCAGTACGACAACATGCACTAAAATAGGAAACAAACAGTCTGAGAAAACGGGGACGTCCAAGGGAAACATTAAGAAGGACATTGTAATGAGAGGCTACAGATTTTGGGCTGAACTCTGTGTTAGAAACTGAGCTAGCTACATGCAATAGAGCAGAGTTGGAGAAATCTAATGCGAGCCCTATGTGACATCTAATGGCCCACAAAAGATGATGAGGATCGTAATACATAGTTGATACAAAACTAGAAGAAGAGAAGTAGAAGAAGAAGAGAAGAAGACGCTCAGCTCTCATTCCTTTCTGCAATCATTTCTTCTTTCATTCTCATACCCTTCCTGATGTGCCCTCTCCACTCAACAGGGTCGTTGGCATTTTGTTCCCAACTCAGAACCTGTATCATTCATGTCCCATTTGCACATATCTTGATATCGTAGTAGAGGTCGGCCTAGACAAATCAGCCCATCTCTAATTCATCATAGAGACTGCCATCCTCTATTCTTTGGGTGTGACCCAGTCACCTAAGCCTTCGTAGACTGCCTCACCCCCTACCTCAGTAGAAGTGGTAAATACAGGTAGTAATATAACCCTACCAGACCGCTGACCCGATTTTTCGGGGAATTTCTTAACCTGACGCTATACCGCTGTCCCTAATTTTCCGCAATTTGTATAGTATGTGAAAAAGATGCGTCACAAACTAAAAATAACTAGCCAATCGTAATCAGACCACGCGATTAGTCATTCTAGATGTCTGCCCACGAGTGTTTGGATTAAATTTGGCATTGTTTTACGTGAAAAAATTATGAAAATTCACAATGAAGCGAGCGGCTGATGAACCAAGCTCTTCAACAGGAAAGGAAAATCAGTCTAGGCTTTTCACATTCTAGCAGGTGATCGATACTTTGGTTTTTTCAGACTCTGCGGAGTCATAATTTCATGAAGAACACTTTCACAGTTAAAGTGACACAGTCAGTGAGAGCTATCCCCGTGTGGGTTCCGGGGCCCCATTGTGGGGAAAACAAGAATATACCCACTCCTCCCCAAAAGCATGTCATAAAAGTTGACTAATTGGGGAGCTTCCTTTGAAGTCGGAGTGCATCTGCCGGAGAGGCAAGGAGCCAACAGTCTGTATTCAAGAGAATGAGATCTGTAAAACTGATGCACACGAAACACTCAGGTTCTGGAGCAGGACTGTAGTTCAGTAGTGGACGAGCAACCAGAACTTTCCGCCAGAGTGTACAGCTGGTGAACGCGAAGAAGAAGAAGAAGTGAGGGCTAAAAAAAAAAATAAGGAAAATCTTGAAAATTATAAATCTAGAAATAGATCGATAGCAGGAGAAGGGGTCATGTCCCTCAAACAGCGACATCTGGTGTTCACTTGGTGAACGAGGCTGATCCTTCTGAGTGGATTGGCACACAAAAGTGGAATATTGGCGCTAGATAAAAGGAATGCCTATTTTCTACTATGTCTCCAAGTTTTATCTTATTCTAGCCACTTGTTTGCATGTAACTAATATTTTTGTAAATCATTTTGGTTTTTCGTGTTAATGCCTAGGAGCTCAGGTATAGGGGGCAGTTAGGTTCAGGGCCTCAGGTCTGGTAGGGTTAAGTCAGTCAGTCAATTAATTAATCAGGTGCCCTCTCCAAAGTGAAGGTTGGCTGCATGCTATGTCTCTTGTCCTGGTAGTAAACTCTAATACTGCTGCCCATCCATCTCTTGATGTTATCCTCCCACTTGTATCATTGCCACCTCTTGCTGTCTCTTGCCTTCTACCTTTCCCTCCAGTTTGGTTTTTAAGAGTGTGTTATGCCTTTTAATGTGGCCAAAGTATTTAAGTTGTCTCTTTTTTTATTTCTTTCAGTAATTTTGTTTTTTTTGTTTCCATGAATTTCCTATTTCAACTCTTGATGGTATATTTTCAGGCATTCTCCACGTTGGGACATGAAGCCATGTTCCATGCTAGAACTATGGGCCTGCGGACAGTCTTCACAGATCACAGCCTGTTTGGCTTTGCTGATGCCAGCTCCATCCTCACAAACAAGATCCTGAACTTTTCACTGACAGATTGCACACATGTTATTTGTGTGTCTCATACTTGGTGAGGGACACATTGCCTTTCATTCTTATGTTAGTGGGTCTCCATGGGAAAGTGGTCATGATGGTCGCCTCATGCTCTGAAGGTGGTGGGTTCATTTCACGACTGTATTGTTCAGTTTACAAGTGCCTCGTGTGGGGTCCGGGGCCCCAGTGTGGGGGAAAATAAGAATAGTCCCACTGCCTTCCCCAAGAAGCATGTCGTAAAAGTCAGCGGATTGAAGTTCGAGTGCATCTGCCTGAGAGGTGAGGAACCAACAGTCAGCAATACAAACAAATTCTGATTTTAAAATGAATGTGCACGCAACACTCAGGTTCTGGAACAAGTCTAAAGTCCAGAGGTGCATGAACAGCCAGAGCTTTCTGTCAGAGTTTACAGCTGGTGAGCCCGAAGAAGAAGTTCACCAGTGCCGAGATCCCTGGTGATAGTCGCCCTAGCTTTGGAGCTTGTGCATTGCTTATGCTTGTCAAGCAGTTAGCCATGAGAGAGAGAGACAGAAATCAAGCCATATGGGATCAAACCTGGGGTGCCAAAGTCAATCTTTTTGACTCTAACCTCTGACTTTAATTCTTATGCTGCTATCATATTTTAGAATGGTTGGCTGTGTTGTTCTTCTGTTGCAGTGGTTCTCAACCTGCCAGTCGCCACCCCTTTTTTTGGGTACAACAACTATTTTACATGGGGTGCCTAAGACCATAGGAAAATACATATTCATTGAAGTTATAAAGAAAAGTCATTGTTTGGGGGTTGCCACAACATGGGGGAACTGTATTAAAGGGTCGTGGCATTAGGAAGGTTGAGAGCCACTGTTATTTTGCATTTGCCGTTAAAAGGGTGACCTAGTGTGGTGGTTTAAGGCTAGACTGAGATATCTCGTCTTTCATCCCAGTACATTTGATCTCTACAAATTCCCATTTAGTTACCTTTTATGACATGCTTGTTAAATGGCAGTGGGTTCCCCCCCCCCCAAATGGGGTCCTGGACCCCTCCCACAGGAAACCTCATTCTCTACCTCTCCTGTACCTATGTTTTCTAATTTATCTGCCTTTTTCCCTTCCATACTGGGGGGTGGGGGGTTTCATGTCAAAGAAATTGTTGTTATACTGTTGTCATATTTTCTCAGTGTGTGCTCTATCAAGTGCCAGCAACTTTTTTTCACCTCTTGACTTCTTAGTACTTGCCTTCTTCTTCTTCCTCTGCGTTCATCCAAAGATGTAATTGCGTTGTGCCTGTTTACAGCTTGGCTGCGATATTTGCATCTTTCGGCCAACACATCTGACTTTTGAGGGCATTTGTTGACCGGGTTAGCCTTCCTGTTAGTACTCGTCTAAAGCTCCACATTGGTAATGAGGTCAGGTCTTGGTTGAAAATATACCACAAACATCATTGACTTATTGATTCACATGTAGGACGATTATAATTAGTAAGCCCGTATGTTACCAGGGGCCATAAATTGGGAAAAGAATAATAGTATTATTTCCTAACACAAGATCTGGGAGAGTCAGTTAATAAGAAAGAAGGGACTGAGAAGTTGTAAGTGGGGACTGAGAAGTTATATGAGGGAGGAGACTGAGGAGTTATAAGTGGGGACTGAGAAGTTGTATGAGGGAGGAGACTGAGGAGTTGTAAGTGAGGACTGAGGTGTTGTATGAGGGAGGAGACTGAGTTGTAAGTGGGGACTGAGGTGTTGTATGAGGGAGGAGACTGAGGAGTTGTAAGTAGGGACTGAGGTGTTGTATGTGGGAACTGAGGAGTTGTAAGTGGGGACTGAGAAGTTGTATAAGGGAGGAGACTGAGGAGTTGTAAGTGGGGACTGAGAAGTTGTATAAGGGAGGAAACTGAGGAGTTGTAAGTGGGGACTGAGGTGTTGTATGTGGGGACTGAGGAGTTGTAAGTGGGGACTGAGAAGTTGTATGAGGGAGGAGACTGAGGAGTTGTAAGTGGGGACTGAGGTGTTGTATGTGGGGACTGAGGAGTTGTAAGTGGGGACTGAGAAGTTGTATAAGGGAGGAGACTGAGGAGTTGTAAGTAGGGACTGAGGTGTTGTGGGTGGGGACTGAGAAGTTGTATGAGGGACAAGACTGAGGAGTTGTAAGTGGGGACTGAGAAGTTGTATGAGGGAGGAGACTGAGGAGTTGTAAGTAGGGACTGAGGTGTTGTATGAGGGACGAGACTGAGGAGTTGTAGGTGGGGACTGAGAAGTTGTATGAGGGACGAGACTGAGGAGTTGTAAGTGGGGACTGAGAAGTTGTATGAGGGAGGAGACTGAGGAGTTGTAAGTGGGGACTGAGAAGTTGTATGAGGGAGGAGACTGAGGAGTTTTAAGTGGGGACTGAGGTGTTGTAAGAGGGCTGAGGAGTTTTAAGAAGACTAATGCACAGATAGACCCACAGGGACATAGTTTCTGGGCACCCACTGCCAAGACAGTGATCACAGTTAAAATTCACAGCAGCGGTATAATGATTTTTTCCCTGATAAAATATATAAGGCTCTGGGATTGACCTAGTTTAAAACAGTGACCACCATACAGTTTTCATAATTATCTTGGAATTGTCTGAAGAGGTAAATTGGTGAGAAAATGAACATTCAACTCTGTCTCATATTTTGTGGTCTTGTTAGGGTCTAACATTTTACATCTTGACACCAGTTAACTGCTGGATAACTATCACATAAAATTTTATTTGTCCAATCCTTATGGAAGAAAAGAGGAGGTCTGGCCGAGCAGTTAGAATGTCCGGCTTTCATGTGAGAGACTCAATTTCGACCCCTGATAAGGTGATAGAGTTTTTCTTTCGATGGAAAAATTAAACATCTGAACCTGCACAGTCAGGTGGCCCTAAATCTTCAGACTCAAAGTGGTAAAACAAACTGTTTTTTTTTCTTTTTATGAAAGAAAATAAGGGCTTTTGAGATGAATTTCTATAGAAAGATTATCAGAATACCTCGGGCGAAGAAGAAAAGAAATACTGACATCCTAAAAGATATGAACATCAAGGAAGATTGGCTAATAAACAGCATGTTGTCTGGGAAACTGAAATATTTTGGCCATATCAAGCACCATTGCGGAACAGAAGCAGGGGCTGACCTGTACAAAAATGGGCACAGGATATAAGTAACAACTTGGGTAGGAAAGTGAGCAAGGCAAGAAAGCTGGCGAGAAACTTTAGTTTTTTTCAGACCCTGATGAGAGCGATGTTCTGTAGAAGACCTGCTACAGTAGTTTTCCTCAACCTTCCAAATGCCGCAACCCTTTAATACAGTTCCTCATATTGTGGTGACTCCCAACCATAGATTTTTTCGTTGCTACTTCATAACTTCAGTGAATATGCATTTTTCGATGGTCTTAGCCGACCCATTTAAAAGCTTCACTCAACCCCCAAAGGAGTCACGACCCACAGGTAGAGAACCGCTATGCTACAGTATAATAATGATAATTTGTATAGTAGACGATAAAGGAGCCGATAAGCGTTGATAGACTAGTGAAAATATTGCTGTCATTTGTGTTATGTTTGTAGCAAAGAGAACACAGTTTTGAGGGCCAGCATGCCTCCGTCACAAGTATCAGTGATACCTAATGCAGTCGACCCAACAGTGTTTCAACCTGATCCCTCCAAGCGACATGCAGAAAAAAGTAAGCCACGTTATAGATTCTTCTTGTTTTTCTTTCATTCGCTTGAAATAAATTATCTATATCTGCAGTTTCCGGCATCAGGGGCTTAGGCGTTGCGAGTCCGACTCATAATTTCAACACACCGCAGTCTAAACCCACTGCTGGCTGTGTGGATTTTTATACCGCTTGGTGGTGAACTGATGTATGACAAGCTGGATGTTGTGTGGGCTCTTTGGGAGCGATTGAATAGTGTGGAGGCACAGATAGATAATAACGGTCTGGGGAGAATGGCACTGCCAGGAGTTACAAGGGGAGCTGGCCGGTCCTCAGTACTCAGGGGAAGGGCAAGACGGATGAACAGTCAGACAGTTACAGGTGCTATCAGAATTGCAAATTTTTCGCTTGCTGCTGAAGATGTGGAAAGAGCGCTTATGGGGGTGTCGCGAGTGCTATGATGTAGATTCCTAAATCAGCATTCAGCTTTCCACCAGAGTTAACAGTTGGGGAATGCTGGGAAGAAGAAGAGGAGAAATGATAACTGACAAGTTTGATGGGGAAAAAAAAGCAGTCAGAAAAACAGAGATCATTGTCAATATGGCTTGTCCTTATGAGTGGCACAGGACAAGAACACTGACTTGATACATGATGCTGAATGTCAATGAGATAGCAAATCATGATCACTTACACTTGTCAGCAGGGCACATGATGATGATGAACATCTGCTGCAGAGTCTTTCCGTGACTAAAAGACTTAATGAGCAGACAACTTGGCATGTTGTTATAATTTTCTATTGTATTTTCCAGTAACTGTCATTGTCATCAGTCGCCTGGTCTATAGAAAAGGCATGGATCTCCTGGCAGGCGTTATTCCACAGATTGCCAGGAAATACCCACAAGTCCAGTTCATTATTGGTAAGTTACGTCACTTCCAGTGGCATTTTTTAATTTTCATTTACTTTCCTTGAATTCAGGTTAGTAAAGTTATCGCAACTGCAGCTTCATAGCAAAAGAGTCACTTCAAAGTTCAGGGATATTCAGCTGTCCACAGGCCATACTTGGCCCTCAGAGGCGTAGCAAATGACCCACAGATCATTGTCAGTTAAATTGTATTACTGATCTTTCTATGCTGGGACTTGGGCTTCTAGCCCGTGACCATCCCCTTTTAAAAACATTTGGTTCTTTATTAATACCTTACCCCCAGATGATGTCACAGGACAGTCCAACATTTTAGAGGGTGGTAAGGCTGGGTTTCCCACCTTTCTGATGCTTTTAACGACCCCCAAAACATTTGGAACTGACCCTAACCCCAACCCACCTACGTCCCATGAGAGAGTGCAGCCTAGGTCCAACGAATGCGTGCAGCCTATTTATCACACCCTGAAATATTCTCTTCC